GCGGGTTAATGACGTGGGGGGATTTGTCGGTGATGGAAGATTTGGTTTCGAAGTTTAGATTTGGAAATTAGGAAAGTTTTTAATTAGATCCAATCTAATTTGAATTTCAAATTGAATCAATTTGGAAAACTTTCCCTTAAAATAGATTCAGGAATTTAGGGGAATAAATTTGAAACTTCAAATTTTGTCGAGTCTGGTCAAGTTTGTGGAAAATGAAATCCAATCTACCCAAATTCATTCAAAATTAGGAAGGAAATTGTAAATTGGGAGAATGATTGGAGGAGAGGCAGAGGGGCGGGTAGAGAGGCGGTAGAGAGAGAACGGGGCCGCGGCTTTGTTGTTGGATTCTTGGGGGGAGTCTTTGTGAGTGGGGAGGAAAATTAGGAAGGCTCTTAATGCTTCCTTGTGATGGGGACATCAGATTTCGACACGTGATGTACACCATTGTACCATGCCAGACACCGGAATCACGGCCACCGCGATCATGATTTTTTATTTCCTCATTTACTTGTCAGTAGTTCTTATTTTATTTAATTTTCCATTTTTGCCCTTATGAGGGTATTTGTAGTAATTGTTGCCCAAGGGCACATTTAGTCTTTTGTTTTTCTTTGTCATGTTGAGACTATTTATATGGCCCTTCTCTTGTAATAGGTGAGGTTTTTTTTTTTTATAATAAATTTTTTCTTTTCTCGGATGTTCATTTTCATCCCACGATCTCTTTGTGAGTTCGCCTGTAGAAAACTAGATCTCTTAGTTGTGATGTTTAGTTTTCGATATCATCTAAATATTAAGTGTCAAAGTGGGAGAAACAAGTTGAGTTGCAATGTGTTGTATAAATCCGGTAGTACGTGCCGAAGCCATGAAAATCCCCTATTTTCCCTTGCTCTCTGCCGCCGCACCACTGTCCAAGACAGCTCAAAAGTCTCTGCCCGGCCACTGCCTGGCCTCCTATTTTTTCCGCCTGGGTAGGCCAGTCAGCGGCGCCGACCCCAGATCCTAATGCCGCCGGACCACAACCCAGCTTTGTGCCGACGTAAGACCGCCGGCGCCACCCTCTGGCCAGGGAGGTGGAGCTTGAATGTCGGTGGACGCTTTTTGGCAGAGGAAACCGACATGATCATTCTTTGGCTGTTCTATCAAGAACAGTAGTTATCTTTTGTTTTGTAAAATCTGGACTAAGGGGGTGATTGTTAGGTATTAGTCCTAGATTTATGTTTGCTTTTGTGTAGCTATTTGTATAGCTGTAGGTGTTGCTCTTTGTATGGCTTTTGAGCCTATATATAGGAGGTCTTTAGGTTGTAAAAGGTAGCCATGGAATAAATGAATTATGATTTGTGGCTCACGGTCCCCCTCTCCTCTCCCTCCTCACTCCCTCTCAAGATCTTGCAAGAAGATCTCAAGCAAGATCTTCCTCCTTGAGTTCAACACGACCAAATACCCGTAAGGGCAAAAACGGAAAACATAAAAATCAAGTAAACTACTACATAAAATGATGAAAATAAAGATCATGATCGTGGTCGTCGATCTCCGGTATCTCCTGATGGTACATGTGTCGCAATTTCTGACGATGTCCTCATCACTATGATTCAAGATCTCGTAGTAACATTGGTATCCAAGAAATCTCTTCCAAGTCGTTGATTATCCAATTCAAACCAAAATTATCTGCACAAAAAAAACATCATCTTGTGATTGCTTAAAAGTTATGTCCTTTAATGTCGTCAATGTCCAAACATAAATTTATAATCTTAGACCGTGAACTATTGAGCCTGTGATCATATGATAGAGTTTGCTGTCTTATTTAAAATCCTTTATCCATGTTTAAAAAACTATACAATAGGATTATAGATGGATTGATACCACAAATAACTGGCATTGGGACTATTAATGTCAGCGCCTCTCAGCATTTTAGTTCACTTGATTACTAAAAATTCCTTTAACTTGTTATTAATCAACAAAATTATCAAGGATATGAACTGTAGTACTACTATTCATCTTATTTATTATGAATTCTAATGAAAGAGTCAAGAACGATAATTGACAAGGCAAAAAAATATACTGGTCTCTACCTTCTAAACTCTGAAAATAATCTTGAAAGGTATGAGAAAATGCTCGACACTTTTTTTCTTCTAACAAAAGCACAATTATGTTATGGTGCGTTTGCCTTGATCATCCTAATTTTATGTACCTAATGCACAATTTGTTAATTATTTAAACACGCTCTAACTTCCTACCTTAGTTATCTTTATAAAGCTTCCCAACCTTTTGCAACTATCCTTAGTGATATATAGGGCCTTTCTCTGATGCTAGGTGGTTTATAACTTTTATTGTAACTAAACTATAACCACTTGGATCTTTCTAATGAAAGAAAAGTTTGAAATCAGTTCCATTTTCTAAAGTTATAATTAAGCAAAATTAATTTTTAAATCATATGAGTGCTTTTTCCTTAAAGAGTTTATCCATCCATATATGCAAGACATATTTGTATGGTTTATCCGAAAATAGTTTATGAAATTTAATGAATTTAATGTGGAAAGGTAAGTATTCATCAGTTTTGCCTCTGCATCCATCAATGTTTCACTGAGCCCAACTATTCTCCACCTGTCATATTTACTTCATGCTGCCTCAATATTTTGTGGTATTATTATTGCCACCTCCTAATTCATATGGATTCTCCTAATTGTATTTAATTCTGTATTTATTTTTCATTCCAGAATTGTATATTTCCTATTGGAGGCTTCTTTAGATTTGATAAAGACGAAATAAATCAGTTAATTAATTCTCTGCAATTCTTTTCATGTCATTAGAGCCATATGTTTTTTTCTTAGCATTTCTATAGTCTACATTATACATCGTGATATTCTCTAGAATTTGCAAGCTTTCATTGTTGCAAGTCTTTTCTTTCCACGAGGCTTCTCATTTGTGGCTTTCATCTCTTCAGCCTTATTTCTGCCCTTTTTTTAATAAAGAATTACTATCTCATTTTTTTCTTCTTTTACATCACAAAAAAAAACATATGTTCACTTGCTTTAGGTTTATTTGGAACTGAGATTAGTAACCCAAATTCATTAGTGTAATTCCAAAACATCAATTCATTATGTCTTTTGAATCAAAAGAATTTTCTCGTGTGTTTACATTTAGTTTGCACATTCTTGAAGGAAAGAAGAAAATGGGCCAATGGGGTCCTTTACTTTACATCAGACCCGGCAAGATGATCCCACGTTTAATACTTAGGATGAACATGACTTTATGGTGATTCCCTGGTTGTAAATTCCACGTTTCTTGAAATAAGTAACATCCACATGTTTCTAATTCATTTGAACAGATAAATTTTAGGATATGATAAATCAAACATATTCTAAAGTTCATAATGCAAACCAGATCTATGAATAACAATCTAAAGGTATATTTTGAAAATATGATAACAAATTAAAATTGTGATCATTAGCATTTATGTAAGATTATGATAGTTATCAGTTCGTTTATCTTTATTATGTATTGTTATTAATATATTTATCATAAAATTTTAAAATCCTTGCTTATGATACTTCGATCTTAATAAGCTTTTTTTGTTTTGTTTATTTTGAGATGGGGAAAGTTTAGTGCTTCTTTTCTTTTTGCATTCCATCCTCCATCCTGCTGCTATCTTTAGTAGAGTTGGGAGACTCACAAATCTCAACTTCGAAATTTTTGGCAGATGCTTCTCAGATGTGAAGCCTTACTACTGAAAGTCTGGTATTCAGTAGATAAATGCAAGTCTGATCCGAATCTATCTTATAAAATGAGATAAAATGTTAAGGTATCTTCTGGAGCTTTGTTCCCTTAGAAGTTGATAGTTTATGATAACTCTTATTTCACATAATTCTATCATGTAATCTTATGCTGTTCTCATGATTATTGGATTTTTAAGAGTCTTTGCATCCCTGCTTGTGACCTCCAGCAACCCTCTGAGCCAAGCATGTGACAGTTTTACTAATGAGAAAGAATTAAGCTTATTTATGGTGCTAGGGATGGCCTCTTAATCTTCCGTATGTGTTAGAACTGAACTAGATCTGTTCTTTCTTTTTTTTTTTCGTTATTTGCTTCTTAAAGTGATGGAATTTGTTGTATTTCGGAATGTCCTTTTGATTTTCATTAAGCCCGTGATTGTTTTATATTTTTGGATGCGTTGTTGGCTATATCTCTTGTTTTGTGGATTCCAAAATTTTTCTTATCTTCTCCTAATGCTATTTGATTTTTGCAGTAATGCAGCTTTGTCCAATTCCTTAGCTGGACGGATTTCTTAGCAACATTTTAAGTCATGAGAAAAGGGTTAAGTTCGAGCTGGAATGAGGGGCATGGTACCAACTATATTGCTTTTGACGACGGGAGGAGTTGAATAGTTTGCTTGTTCTTAAACTTCTGCCCTAGGTGATTAAGAGGGGTTTTAAAGCTTCAAAGTCGTTTTTTCCTTTAATATCTTGCAGGAAAAAAAAAAAAAAGGTGTACGTAAGTTGGATTTTTTTCTACCCTTACGAGGGGAGAGAATATCATTTTCCTTAACATTCAATCCTACACCCACAATCTTCTAGTTTTGTAGTTCCATGCTAGAAAGAATAGATTTTCTAGTTTCTTCATCCGTATCAAACAACACCCTGTAATCCATGTCACTGGAAAAGGATTTTTGGACTTGTGCTTGTTGCACACAGTATAGAGATATGAATAAAAATTGGGCACAACTTGAGCATTTTAATTAACATGAATGCAAGGATCGGGTCTAATTTGGTATTGCAAACAAACTATTTGGTTCCACCATTGATGAAACTAAAACCTGGTCGATGGGTGGGTTGGACTTAGTTCTTACTGGGTTATCTTGACATTTTTGTGTTGGTCCCAGAGCTGCGCTATGCAGGTGAAAATCATATATCCATGCTTGACCCTTGACTACGAATGGTAGGCCCTCGGCCTGACCTCGAAGGAGACATCAATGGAGCATACAATAGCGTAGAGATATGAATTTGAGCAATAATTGTAAATTGCTTTGAATATGTTAAGTTTAAAATGCATTACTATTAATCATTAACTCATCAGAAAATTTAGACCAAAATATTCAATTTAGAAACTATGTTTGTTATGGTCTTACAGTTCTGAGGTGATCTCACAATTAGTAGATGGAAAGGAGGGAACTCGGTAGATCTTTGAGTCTAAGAATTGGACTAACTATCGGAATGTAGACAAGAGAGTCATATTAGAAAGAGACGGATCAATTAACATGAGCCGGATAAAGAAGATTTAGAAAAATTTCGTTGTTTTTATTTGTTTGGACATTTACATTGTTACTGTGTTGTAGTTTTAGAGTGAACTAGTGTGGACTTGAGTGCACTTATGTATCCATATGTGAGTGTGAGTGAGTGTAATGGCCTGTCATATGTTGACGTAGTCAATATGAAGTGAACCGCCAAGTAGGAATGGATGGAGTAGTTATGATACTTGCCACCTTGGGTGGCTACACCCTTCGTTAGCTCAAAACTCATATTTTGAATCTATTTTGTATGTTGCATTTACTACTCTATTTGTGAATGAAGAAGGGAGAAAGTTTGATGGCTTGATCCAATGTATGGTTTAGTGATTGTTTCACTTGCAGTTGGCTTTGCTGAGTTTTGTGCCTTATTTTTGTGTGAGCATCTTTACTTAAATTTTTGTAAAATTTGTGTGAAATATTTATGTGATAGTGTTATAGTTGTAGTTTTTCTAATTTTTCCAACACTTATTCCTTATTAAATTTCTGCCATAAGTGGTTGGCCAAGACGTGGGGTTCGTGATCTAGTTTAGGGTTCTTTTAACCATTTCATGGATCAAACTTTAGACCAAACATTGTTAGAAATTGATCTAAATACTTTATATAGATCAATTTATTTATCGTTTTCGTTTCCCCCGTCAGTTTCACTGTTTTGTGTTGGCCTAAAATTCAAAAACCTTAAATTCTAATTTCTGTTTTATTATTTTTTTCACTGTCCAATTGCTTAAAAAATTCAACAACAAAAAAAAAGTATATATGATCTTGAATCATGTCCGTTCAAGATTTGAATGTATGATTGATTAGCACATAAAACACCAATGAAAATCAATACAATTTTTCATCTAATGAACTTTAATAGCCTATAATATGGTTTTAAATATTTTTGCAAAGTAGGTTTCATTTACATAAAAAATAAATATTTATAATATTTTAAAAATGTATTTGTCACTTAATGATCAAATGATAAATTAAACTCAAATAATGCAATAATGTATACTTGATAAAGAGGCAAAATATGCAGTAATTAGATCAAAATTATATAAGTCTTTGTTCCTTAAACTATATGTACAACCGAATACTAAGCAAGCATAATGTGAGACCCTGATTTCATACTGGTAACTGATGAACTTCTGCCTGAAGCACAGGGAAATAGAAATTAAATCATGCTTGTTAACATACTTATAAATGAATGATCGTATGCAAGGTAGTCAAATTGATCAGAAAATTACACTTCACTTCTGCTAAAAAAATTAAAAAAAAAAGGTATCGTTCAATGAAGGATTATCAGAAAACAAAACAGTTCATTGGGGACAGAAATAAAGCAAGGAAAATAGAAGGATCGGTGCTTTGATGTCTCGTCATAGCTATCATCGGAAAAATATTTAGAGGATTTTGCTGATTACCAATCTTTCAGAGAACCATTAAAAAAAAAAAAGTGCAAAAGACAAGACAGAAAAATTAGACCTCCCAAAAGCTTACATCCCATGATGGCATTTGAACTTTGAAGGTATGCAAGAGGAATATTGTCGGCGCTGGGGAGGAGCTTTGTCCCCGTTGTAGGCTTGTAGCCGCTCGTCGAGCTCACAAACGAAGAGGGGATGCTGAGCGGAGAGGAAGGAACAAGAACGGGACCTATTCACACGAACGAAACGAGGTTACAAGATCGGAATAGGAATATTATGTTTTTTTATTTGTCCTAAGTTCATACACCTGCCTAGTATCATTATGATACATCATACATGCATTCTCTCTCTTAATATCATAAAAAAAAATATTAACCATGAACTCCAAATTTAGCGGAACTGCTAAGTGCTATTGATATCTCCCCCTAATCATATTAACCAAATAAAAAGTATATGTAAGAGACAAACAAATTAAGATCAACTTTCTTAACATGAAAATTACTAATTTGTCTCCAATACAATTTTAGTAGTCGAGTAACTAAAGATATGGTGGATTTACAACTAAACAATTTTGTCTGAGATAAAATTAAAACAAGCTACAAATTCATGTAAAACATAATATCATGATGTCTAATGAACATACACAGGCAATCATGGAATTTTTTTTTTTCTATTATTTCTATGCTCAATAAAGATCAAATGCTAGAGAAATGAAATTAAATTTAAACTTGCCACGCTAGTTATCACCTAGTATGTCTCTAAATAACTTGGAAATAGTTTTCATGTAAAATATACATCATAAGCTGACGAAAGAAGGCTCATGATGGGATCAAATTAAGTCGTATTAGCATGATCACATTTATTATGTCTATCACTTAGTTTTCAACAGTAAACTAATTTAAGTTGTCTAAATTAAACCCTAAACCCTATATGGAGAATTAAGCATGAAAAACTAAACTCAGTAACCATACATTAAATTGTAAAACATCTAAGAATCTATTTTAAGCAACTGAACTAAAATATGTTTTATTATGAAATTTTAAGAAATTTTCAAGTTATATGTAAATCAAGATAACATATTCGTGACTTCCAGATCAAAGAAGTTTATTCCTATGGAAAAGAAAGAAAGGGCGAGTGCTAAAAAAGAACCAGTCACTTCTTTTCGACAAAAAAGTTTAGCTTGGTAGGCGATGCTTACTCAACCTCATTGGCAAGATGTCTATGCTTGTTCAAATCCAGCTCGCCCAAGAATTTGCCGCTCCATGAAGATCTAAAGAATTTCTTTCTTTCACACACACACACACACATAAAGAAAAGAGTCATTTCATCCATTCTCTTTCTATTTAGGAACTAAACTCGTAGAGGAAGGTAATAAGTAGGACCATGGGGCATCGAATCAGAGCTCGCACGTATGGAGAAGTTGTCTTGCTTTATTTAGAGCAAGAAAATGAGAACAACAATTTCGAAGAAGCCAACAACATAGAACTCAATGGTGGTCATAGATCAGCTCTTTCTTAGCTACAAGATGCCCAATCTGTCATAGCCAACTCCTTTGCTTCTACCAAGCCCACAAGTTTGAGTCTTCAACCAAGATTCCTTGTTCACTTGCCAATTGCATCAACAACTGGTCAAGTGCTCAGTATCAAAAGATGGTTCAGCACACTGGAACCAGGAGTTCACTTTCCCGCATTCGCACCTTTCATAAAGATAAAGCCTTCTAGAACTAATGCCACGTCTGATCTGCAAATTTTCTAAGATATTCTAGATATTTTTTGGAATAGGAGAACCAGAAATTGGATATACATGCCCATAATCAGAGGAAGAATACATGGTTTAAGAAGAGGCTAAATCAATAGAATGCCTTGCACATTCATCCAACTCTTCCCCTTTTTTGAATGGACATCGACCTCTTTATATTATATTCAAGTAAGTGCATTGAAGCTCTTTGCATGTTAGCACTTTGACCTGACCCTTCATTACTTTTCTGATCATATGGATGCCGCTCTTAGAGAATCCAGAAAAGGAAATCGTGAGGGAGAAAGAAGATTCTCTTCACTGCATAAGAAGTTGTGGGACGAATAGAATGCCCTGTTAAAATGGTCATGAACATAACAGTGGATAATTTCTTTCCCAAAAGCTTTACTCGAATCTCTATTACTTGTTTTCACCAAAGTAGGCAAACTATTATTTCTAGATAGGACTACGTTAGCCGACGATATGCTTTTCGGTCCAAGATTAGTGCTCGGATCTTGATTCACTCCCCTGTTTATGCTTAGCCATTACTATTTTTATCCATTTTGTAGCCATAAAAGGAATAATCGTAGAATTTCTTCAGTAAAGCACACGTACACTTCTAGGAAATAAGAAAAAATGGGAATTAGATAGTATCAATTATACCATTTTTTATTTCATATGACTTTCTTCGCTCTTGAAATATGCATCCAAACCTGCGAGCAAATTGGGCGTATAACTTAGTTGGAAGAGCATTAGGCTTTTAACCTAATGGTCATAGGTTCAAGTCCTACTATACGCCAAAAAAACCACTCATTGTAAGGATGCATAGTAGCATTCAAAGGTCACTCTTTGGCCTTGAGACTCACCCCTTAGGAAAGATTCAAAATCAAACGTTGAAACAACTCAACTCATTAGGGAATTTACGGCAGTTTGTGTCACAATCCAACCCGATCAGGGCAACTCTTATCATGTTGAACTGTGACATGTTAATCCCAAGATCTAATTTTGAAAAATTTTCATATTATCTTTCAATATTCATTTTAAATAAACTACATACTACATAGCTACTAAAAAATTCAAATACTAAAAATAAATTTATCCATAAGATTTCTTTTATTTCATCAAAATATATCTATACTATTGTACATGACTACATGTAGAAGTTACAGAACTGAATAATAAACTAGCTTATAAAAATCAAAATAGAGAAATACCTATAATCTCATATATGATCATGAACTGCTAATCGATAGTTTCATTCTCTTTTTCAGATCCTAAAAACCACAAACAAACTATAGTGAGATACAAGAACTTAGCATACCACACA